ACAGCTAGCGCAGATAGCCCTCGTGTAGCTTTGCGCGAAATTCGAAACAAACAAACAAACACACACACAGCCTCTTGAGGATTCCCACAATAGTTTACAAAAGTGATTAAACGACCCCATGTAATTGCCTATAGAGTCTAGTTGCGTCACTGCCTGGTGAGTGTCTATTGGTCTTCCTGAAATTCAGTTTGAGAGTCATGCTCTAACACAGCGTTATAAATTGAAGACTTGTATAAATCTTGGCAGAACGCATATAATGTTGCTAAATTTGTTGTCAGTTTGATGTGTCTGGTATAACGGACAGTATTATCACGGAAAGTATAATGATTCGGGCTGGTTGTTGTGTTATACGATAATAAATATTTTTGTTGATGTCCCTACTACCTGAATTCTACCTTAACTGTTTGTGTATACATATATGTATGTGTCGAGATTCAGCTCATTATAATATATTATAAATTGGTTATCATAGTATTTTATATACTTTCAAAACCTTGCAAGTAAGAAGTACTAAAACTTGTCAATAACAAGTTACTATCTAGAAGACTGTCTAAGTATAAAACCGTTTAGAAATTGTTCGACTCTGTGATTAAAATATTTGAGTTTTTTTTCATATATCAAAATTGAAACTTTTATTCAGTTAATTTCTCATTAACACGAATATTTAATTTGGAGTGTTTGTAATTAAGCACAAAACTACACAATGGGCTATCTGTGATCAGCCCACCACGGGTATCGAAACCCGGATTCTAGCGTTGTAAGTCCACAGACATACCGCTGTGTCACTGGGGGGCGAGGTGGGGTGAGTATGTTAGAAGAAGTTTAAGTTGGACTGTATCCAAATATCTTTTTTTTTTTCTTAATGTCAGTCTATGTAACACTTCACAACGACATGTATCTATTCGACGAATATCTCTAACTTAGATATTGAACTTTGAACCTATTTATCATTAATATGTAAAACACAGAATAATAAAAAAAAAAAAAGATTCAGCACAAAATGACAACAACCCTTTAAGCTCGCTTGGAGTTAAACT